TGCATCTTCTTCTCTTGTATTGTTGTTCTTACTTCTCTCCTTTCTTTCTTCTAATCTTCAAATTTACAACTAATATTTGAAGACTGATTTGCATCATAGCAGCAAGAGAAATCAGAACACAAACTGACCCAATTTTGGCAACCGGAGAGGTGTCTATGTAATCAATACCATACTACTGTGAATAACCTTTGGCAACTAACCGAGCTTTCAACCGTTCAACACTCCCATCAGGTAAGTATTTAATCGTGTACACCCACTTACATCCAACAACATGCTTACCAGACAGAAGAGTGGTGAGGTCCCACGTATGAGTACGAGTCAGGGCCGAGAGTTATTCCATTGCTTGGCGCCACCCTGGAGAAGTGAGGGCTTCCTGGACATCTTTGGGAACAGAGACAAAGGATAACATAGAAAGAAACTGTCGATGGGAAGCCGAAAGGTGAGTTACAAAAACATAATTGCAATGGGGTGGAGAGTGCAACTGCGTTTACCTTTCCGCGAAGCAATAGGAAGATCAAGGTCAGAACTTGGGGTTGGGGGCTGGGGTGGGAACAACTACCAAATCTGTCAACGGTGACGAAGCTGGGGGAGGAGCCGGTGCCTGACGATGTGTATACACTTGTCGGATAGGTGGTCCTCTCTCAGGTAGCTGCACTGAAGGCAAAGACTGGGTCACAATTGGAACAAGAGGAACAGGATCCTCGACAAAAACTGGAAGAAGGGGTGATGGCAACGGAGGAGAAGAAGTATCCGACTCGGAGAAAAAAGGAACAGACTCAAAAAATGTAACATCATAACACACAAAAGAACATCGAGAACGAGGATTATAACACTTATACCCTTTTGAGTCCTAGAATAGCCAAGAAAAACACACTTGGTGGATCTAACATCTAACTTGTCCATTCTAGGCCCAAGATTATGAATGAAACACACACATCCAAAAACTCTGGGTGTAAGGGGAAAAGGAGACAATGTGGGAAACAGAATAGAGAAAGGGGACTGACCTTCAAGGATAGACATGGGCATGCGGCTAATAAGAAAGCAGGATGCAAGTACAGCATCACTCCAAAAGGGTTTGGGGACAATCATCTGATGTAAGAGGGACCGAGTAGTTTCCAAAAGGTGACAGTTCTTTCTTTCAGCCACCCCATTTTGTTGAGGGATGTAGATACACGAGATTTGATGGATAATGCCATTTTGTTCCAAATATTCTTGAAAGGGTGTGGAAAAATACTCACGGCCATTATCGGAACGAAGAATTTTATTATGTAAACCAAATTGATTGCGAATTTCGGCATAAAATTTCTAGAAGATAGAAAACAATTCACTCTTTTCTTTTATAAGGTAAAACCATGTCATCCTTGAATAATCATCAACAAAAATTACAAAGTACTTGTAACCATTATAAGACACTACTTTGTTTGGACCCCATATGTCCGAATGGACTAAAGAAAAAGGACTCGATGTACGACTATCAACTCTAGGACTAAATGAAACACGATGATGTTTCCCAAACTGACACGACTCACAATTTAAATTAGAAAGACGACTCAACGACGAAACAAGTAACTGAAGAGCTCTAAGAGACGGATGACCAAGTCTGCAGTGTCACTGATGAGGGGAGAGAGATGACTGAAGAGTTGTTGCCGAACCACCTCCATCAAGATAATACAGTCCACCAGCTTCTTGCCCTCCACCAATCTTCATCCCCGTCTTGATATCCTAAAACACACAAGAGGAAGGGTAAAAAGTTATTGAGCAATTAAGAGACTTAGTCAATTTACTAATAGACATCAAGTTAAAGGGAAACTTGGAAAATATAAAACTAAGGAGAGGGATAATGAGTATGTGTCAACATTACCAACACCACGTATGGCTAATGTAGAGCCATTGGCAAGAGTAACAAATTGGGAAGTGGAGGACGGAGAAATGGATGAAAACACACCTGGAGTTCCAGTCATATGATCAGAAGCTCCAAAATCTATAATCCAACGGGAAGGTGTGGATGCTAGACAAGTCGTACCTGTGTGTGCAAGGGTAGCTGTGTTCTGTTGAGATGTACCCTGAATGAACCGCTCATACTCATCCCGTGAAACACTCACCATCTCCTTTCTGGAAGCATCTATAGATGTAGTGGGGATCTAATCAGTAACTTGAGAGTCTTGTCTTGAGTTACCACCGTTTACAGCTACATGATTTGCCCAGGCTAAAGGTGGGCCATGTAGATCATAGCAAAAGTTGATAGTATGTCCCTCCATACCACAATGAGTACACCTTCTCTGAGTATTACCACATCCCCTACCACGGGCTCCCCCCGAGTCTCGTCCTCCAACACGACCACCACCACCACCATGACCATACAAGGGTCTACCACCACTACCACGGCCATGCTGACCTCCTCTACCACCATGACCTCCCCCTCTCGTAACTGCAAATGCAGACCTATCTGACATAGTGGAAGTCTCTGTTGATCCAATTGAAACCCTCCAAAGACGAGCAAACACTTCCTCAAGAGAGGGAAGAGTAGATCCACCTAATATTTGTGCCCTTACAGGTTCATACTCAGACTTCAGCCCTACTAAAAATCTGGTCACATCCAACTGCTCTCTCTCTCTCTCTGTTGTTGCTGAATTTTGACATCAGGTGTAAGAGGATGATAAACATTCAACTCATTTCGTAAATTTCTCATACTGGCATAATAGTCCTCAAGACTCTGATTCCCTTGTTGCAGATTGAAGTACTCTTGGTACAGTTGGTAAACCCTAGTAGTATTATCTTGTCCAGAATATAGTTTCCTTGCATGATCCTAGACTTCCTTGGCTGTAACTAAAAACATGAAGTTCACACTAATTTTGGACTCCATGTTGTTCCATAGCCAAGTCATAATTTGAGAATCCTCCTTTCTCCCATTCATCATATCCTAGAGAATCACTTGGGGGTTTATCTTCCCTCACATGTTTCACTTTCTTTTTGGCTTTCAGGAAAACTTCAACAGACTTAGCCCAAGGGACATAATTCTCACCATTCAGTTTTATAGAGGTCATCTGCACATTCAGATAATCAGAAGGCACCATCACACTTGATTTGTATTCACTGCTGTCTCCCATGACTGCACAAGAAAACAATGA